GTATTTGTATAAGTAGGGAAGCTTAATCACAATTCCGCCCTGCTAGGATTGAAATACTTTCCCTATCACAGGTGCCAATAAAAGGGTCCCAGAGAAAATTACACGCGAATATAAGCCGTCCCGCTAATGGCATTGGCACAGACATATCGCCAATATGTATTTAGCACCAAAAGCCCGAGCGTGGCCCCCGCCGCTGGGGCCCGGTGACATGTCCTTTTGCGGCTTGTCTGCCGCGGAGATTGGGCTGTCAGTCAGCACCGGGTCCCCCGGGAGGTGCGGCCAACAGGATACACCTTTATATACCGACTATCATTAGTGACGCGTGCCATTAACATTTATTGGGTATTTATTCACCAGCTAGAGGCATGTAGAACGGCCTTTAGTGAGACATGGCTGTTTAGGACTTTAGCCAGTCCTCTCACGATGCCACGCACATTTTCTATAGTCGATGGAATAGTGGATCAATGAGGGGGAAAAAAGAGAGAGAAAAAACTTGACTGTTTTGTAAATTTATAGTAAACACTGCATGGATGAGTTTAAGTACTTGTTTTGTAAGAAGCTGGGGTACCAATGCATTCCTGAGAGAACGACATTTTTAAAAAATGGACACACCTTTTCTACACTCAGAAAAAAGGGTAAAAACTTGTACCTTTGCTTGTCACTGGGGTGGTACCCTCAAGGGCTGTTTGTACCTTTGGGATGGGTCCATTTCTGTACCTTAAAAGTCAGAATTATCTACAGCTAAAGGTAAATTTGGCAGACCCTTAAGGGTACAGCCCTAGTGATAAGCAAAGGTACATATATTTACGCTTTTTCCTGAGAGTATATGGCCACATATACATGCACATATACAACTTTAAGCCTACCTACCCTTAACCGCGTGACCATAATCCTTCAGCACTGTGAGAGTATAAACATGAAACTGGCTTTGAAATTCATAATCCTGTGAAAGAGCACAAGTTTAATATTGCTTCTTTTTTAAAAAAAGGTTGAAGATGATAGGGTAAGATGCAATTGTGTTCTCACTATTTAGTGTGGCTGTCAGCCACAACAATGCTACATTTTAGGGTTAAATCTGAACATGTGAAACATAAGGAATTCCTCATAATGCATTTTTCTAAAATTTCACTTTAATATACCTTGCCCAATTTCCCCATGCATGCTAATATGACAGGTCTAGGATAGTGCTGATATCTATGATTTGTGTCATTTTTAACTTTTAATTCTCTCTGATCTGCACGCTCTGTTTCCATTACCAAGCACATGGAACGCCACGATGTTCCCCGACACAGGCTCCGCACGCCGTAAACCGAGTGACCCGGCGAGAGACGGGGTTCGCTGGATGCCGGCCTCCCTCGGCCCGCGGCCGCTTTGGGAGCTAAAGCGTAACACCAGCGCTGCCAGAGGCCGGCCTGGGGTGGTAACATTGTCTCTTGGGGGGTAGAGTCTGATGGGGATCCAGAAATAGTTGACCCTGCCTAATCTCCCTGATACTCCGAGATTGGGGAAGTCTGTGAACGCCACTTCCTGTCTCGTACTTAAGGATTTACCATCCAAACTTTTTTTTTTTTTTTAATTCCTCTGTTTTGCCTCTACAGCAGCAACGGGGGGCGACTGACGGGTTTCTGACAAAGTGCTTAAGCTGAAAGAATCCGCCACAAGCATTAGCTATTAAGCATCAGAAAAAAAGGAAATTAATGTGGAGGGGAGATGTATGAAATGCCATTAATGTTAATTCTAATCACTTTTTGGCTATTAAACACAAATTAGTGAAGGCGATGTTAAATGTCATAGGATGTCCTGGGAATCATTTTCACTCTAAAAGTGGGGCCTTGTGAATAGGTTGTGATTTGCATACTTTAGATTCTACTAATTCTCGCGCAGGGTGATATAAGTCAGACTGTGTCATAAACCGATGGCACAGAGTGTTAAAGTGTAAATGTTCCGCTGCTGGACTAAAATATTTCATTGTTGGAGATCAAGGTTACATTTGAGGTCGTCCACATTAAAGTTAATCCACATTTCTGTTAAGGCTCTTACGTGCCGCCGCGGGAGAGATCGGAACGCCGAGCCGCGCTGGAACGCGACCGCATTGCTCAGACGGTAATCTCTGGGCGAAGCACGAGACCTCCATGTAACTTGTATAGATAGGAATGATATGTGAAAACGGGCTGTTGATTTCTATTGTCGTAATTCTGACAGACCTTCGTCTTGTGGAAAGGAGACACAGGGTTTCACTAATTGTTAGTCTAAAAACAGTATCAGAAATGGCACATTATAAATGCCTGAAACGAGTTCCGGCCCTTTAAAATGAGCCCTTAAGCTTGCTGACATTGTGCGGTACTTCCATTGTAATTTCTCCCTCAGCTGTTTGCATGTAAATAACGTTTGATATGCATAGCCAGGCGTTTACATTCATTACTGTCAGGGGTCTGAAAAGCAGAAGGTGGGGGGGTCACTTCCTGGAGGTCTCCCTCATGCGGGATGTCTGGCGGAGACTGTCAGTCCGCCTCAGTCCCCGGCTGCCCTCGCTGTTTTATTACCTGCCTTCAGGGTCGCGACCTTTTCTGGCATTTGCCATCCTGGAACCTTTTGATTAGTGCCGTATTTACATATTTAACAGCGGAGACGCTGCCGTGTCCAAACACTTGAAGTGTTGTAAATTCAGCTGGCCCCTTTGTCCGGGCTGTCGTCCCTGACGAGGGATACTCTCCGTGCCCTGGCACGGACTCTGCAGGGTTGGGTTTTTCTTTTTTCTTTTTTCCACAGTGCGGCTGCTGCTCAGGGACGTGAATGCTATGCCCATTTGCTCGTGCCCTTCCTTAGCGCCACACTTAGGGGTCTTTAGATGGACTGTGATCTTTGTTCTTTCTCTACGGGTCACAGGATCGACCTGCAGATGCAGCAGATGCATAAACAGTGAAGGTTCCCCCCCTCTGTCCTGTGCCCATTGTGTGAAGTCCGTGATCCTGGCATGATGGACGTCACAAACATGTTGTAAAATGGGGAGACATCGACTGGCCCCCACCTAAATACACCCCACCCATGATCTGACACTCACTTAACATGAAAAGTGCTAGAAAATAGCCACCACCTGCCTAAAACTCAACCTTGCTGTTTATTTATTGAGAGAAAGCAACATCACAAATGCAAAGGATAAACCCTTTATTTGCCATTTGTGCAGGTACATTCTAATTCTTCTCTTGGCCTACCCCATCTTGTGGTCACCACACAGGGTCAGCCAATGGGCAGGGCTAAGGGCCTTGCTCAAGGGCCCGCAGCCATGTGTCTGATTGGCTGAGACTCAAACCGACAATCTTCCAATCACAGGTAGCCGCTCACCACCCCACCTATAAATGTCTGTTAAAATTCATCGTTCTGTGTCATGCTTCTTTATATCTTTTATCTTCCTCCCCCAGCTTGCGACACCTGCTTCCAGTTCAGACCCACCAGTCCAGCCCGGAAACAGGAATTCCAGAAGCTGCCGTTCACATGACACTCCGGGCCCAAGGACGGGGCGTCTGCAGGGTAATGTACCTTCGCACCATCTGCTCTCCAGAGATGCTTGGTTAAGGTCAAACCCCGTGGTCCCTAAACCCTGGAATCCTTCCTGCATGTATGTAACCGTCACTGAGCGGCAGTTCATTTGTCACATCCCGCAGACTTTCCCAGAGTTCCCCTTACCGTCTCCCTTCACGAGGTCCTCTAAAGTTACACCCAACATATATTTCGCCCCAACCTGACTACAATATGCATTAAGCCATTAGCAAGACGAATATTTCACCACACATTGACCTCTGCTTGCAGCTCTCTTTGGAAAATGATGTGTTTGGTATTAATAAAAGAGGAGCATGCTTAGAATGTCAGAAACTGAGCACTTTTAGTTAACAGCAGAAGCACTCAGATTTCCCTCCTTGTTGCACAGAGACTCAAGAGAAGACCATTAACAGGGCAAATTATTCTGCGCTTCCAAGAAAAAAACATTAATCAGGTGCCCCGTGGTGAACCCAGAGCAAAGGCTTTCTCACATTCTGCATGCTGTTATGAAATTATGAAACCATATCCCTCGTAACCTTGACGATGCACGAGGACGCAGACTTTTATGCGGCAGTTTCTCATCCGGCCTGACAGCCTCCTGCCATTAGCCTCTTATTTACTCTGAAACGTAACGAAGGCCCCAGAGTGAAAAAGGAACTCGAGAATATGTATCGTCGTTAATAACGAACAGAGGGAACCTCGAGATATTTCCCCCCGCTAGACACCCTCACGTCAGCGCTGACGTCTTGCTATGTCTGTCAACGGGGAGAACGGCAAGCCAAGTCGGTGGAAGAGAGACCCGGGGAGCAGGCAAGGCTGTAAGACAGCTTCCTGGCACTTCTGATGGATGCCCCAGACTGGGCCGGTCCATCTTCTGGGCTGAAGAACCTCAAAAGCGAGCCATCTACCCAGAGTGCTGATTCGCTCGCCAGCTGACCATGGGAGGTGGCAGCAGTGGTACAGATTAGGGCCCTGGCCGTGCAAATACCACACTAACCACGATGGAAGGAGGTAGAGTTTGGAGGAAAGGAGAGTGGGACACCTCTGCACAATCAGGGCATCTTAGACTTGATACTAAGGTACATCAGCAGAATCTTCGTAGTACAGCACGTCGGCAGGTCAAATTAGGCCTACATATATACATTTTTCCATACCGTCCAGACATTTTACCATGGTATTTGGTATTTTGACAGCAAAGCAATGCTACTCCTGTTCTTTTTAACCTGAAAAATACCGCGGTACACCGCAGTACTGTACTAATACCGCCCTCTGGATCCTAACCACATGTGACAGCTGGTTCCTAGAGGATGAGCAGCACTGGACCTGATTGCTCGCTACTGCAAACCAGCAGTCCTGATGAGGAGACATCTGACACAGCGGAAGGCGGGTGACATTCTATCAGCAACCCTCCCCCCCTCCCCCGCGCCACCACCTTAAGGTGACAGAGACGGTCAAACAAAAGGTGCCATTCACATCTTTAATGTGGGAACTTCACAACCTGAACAACGTACAAAAAAAACAAACAAAAGCTGAGAAGTGAAAGCTGGTTCACGTGGAGAGGAGGTAGAGTTTTCGTAATTAGTAGCAGTCCATATGCTAAGGTTAAAGAGCAACAAAAATATACATGTGATTTAGTTTCTGATCCATTTTAGCTGAAAATAAATATTAACAGCCTGACACAAAAAAAAAAAACACATTAAATACTAAAATTGCAATGAAAAAGTCACAGAGAACAGAGGAGTCACACAGGGGATGTCCCACATTCTGTTCATCTTCCGAAGGGCTGAAGAGGGATATTTGGGGAGGGGGTTAGTCTTTTCATTCAGTTTTCATATTTCAGGTCATAAGTCACATTTGACTCCGGGACAAGGACCCTGTTATACAACCCTTCAGCAAGGTACATAAACTGAATTCAGTGAATAGAACTGGGGCCTGTTTCACAAAGCAGAGTTTCTTGCTTAGTCAGATAACTTGTTGGATTTAAGGTAGTCAGGGCTAAATGTAAATGTACAAAGATAAAGTGCATCTAGCTCAGACTACCTTAAATCCAACAAGTTATCCAGCTAAGCAAGAAATCCTGCTTTGTGAAACCGGCCGCAGCTGGTTAGTAAACCTGACTAATAAAACAATAAAACCATAAATAACAAATGACAAAGAGCACCCAGAATCTTTAAATTGAGCATTAACAGTGTGATGTTACTGCAATGTAGATTTCCAACATAAGAATAATGAGTTTTATTAGTTAGTGAGGGAGAGATGAGCCTTGGCATACCATCTATGACATCAGACAAGATGCATTATGGGATGTCATCATTTCCCAAATGAGGACGGAGATGTACAAGAAATAAACAGCTCAATGTGCCACATTGATGCGTAGAGCTAAGCAGGAGGGTAGACTGCAGTTCATATTAGTTTAGAACTCAGTCTCAAAGTTACATGCAAGGCTAGAAAACCTTCTATTGATAAAAAAAAAAGTATATCGATTAGACAAAAAGTTGATTAGGTGCTTATTTTTTAAAAGAAACATCACTGTTTTGCAGGAAACTCCCACTGTAAGTATCTGTCTTATTACAGATTCCATCTCCATGGTGATGCATGGTAACTTACTGTATAATAATCACAGTTCACTACATTGGGTCAACCTGTTTTTTTTTAATACACACGCTGTAGTGGGCACCCTAACAGGTTAACGCACTTCAAAATGGCTTCCACAAAAAAATGGCTTTCCTTTACAAAAACATTGAGTGCCTCATGTCGTCCTGCCCCACACTCTATTGTAAATATCTATATTGCATCTAAAATATAGTTAACATCCACATTAGTTACGTTCTTCCTATGTAGGTAAGTTGCCTGCTTACCAGCTACCAACCAATTAAACTGTGCAAATGTTTTGAATGTAGGTAGGAAAAGCAATTAAAAAATGCCTGTCAATGCAAACACACACATCTTGAAATTCGCCATACGCTCATTTCAGTATCAGTGTAATTGTCGTTATATTTAATGTTACCTGCCATTGTTTTTATTAGAAATGTCCATTTAGTTTAATAATTAAAGTGATTTTACCTGGGAATAAAAACCAGATTCCCAACGTTTTGTTTTTTTTTGTTACCTAATAACATGATGGTTGGCTGTAGCCCAATCTCTGTCTCAGGTGAGAACTCCGCAGCTAACACAGCAGCTAATGCAGGGTTTCTGGGGTCCTGCTCGCTATATTCCAGCAACAGATTTATCCATTAATATTACCAAATCATTTATTCTACGGAAAATACCTGTATGACTATACTTGATGCAAGGTTAAAAAAATGTAATTCCTTCTAATCAAAATAGTTCTCGTTCTAATAATTTTTCTTAAAAAGTTGGACTCTTTACTCATTTTTAGAGGGAAAAAAGGAACGTCTGAATGATCCAAATAATCCAGTGGATCCTTCTGATGGATCACATGGAAATAACTGCTTAGTTTCATGCCTTACAAACTCCTCAGGTCTGTGATCAAGGTTAAGTGATTTCATTAATAGCTCAATCATTTAAAAATCACCCTTCTCGATTATAAAAGTCTGAACATCAACTGCCTTCCCAAACTTTATAAGTGCCTCTGTGAGATGTTAGCAGAAGATTCGAGACCTAAAGGCCATCTTAGAAGACGGAGGAGAGAAAGATGCGGGGTGACGGTGAGACTCCAGTGCTCTTAAGCGGCTGAACCCTTCCAGTACGGCATATAATTAATAATGGGCCCTGCAGATGATGCATAATGAGCCAGCGAAGAGGTCAAGCACAGCAAGGCCAGCAGATTCATTTGGTATCTGACGCTGTAAAGGGTTTAACACCAGAGAGGCAGCCCTACACGGCCCCGCCTCGCTGCCACCACAAGGGGGCGTAGCTGAGGGTCGGGTCACCGGCCATTTGGACGATAAGTGAATGGCTGGAACGCCTACCGTGACCACAGGAGGTCACATGAGCCCGTCTCAAGCAGAGCATGTTACAGTACATTTCAATCAGAAATACTCACAGATGGATATCATGTGACTGAATACCGCTATACATACATACAAAGAGACTTGATGTTTTTAGGTTTCGTTTATATAAAACGTGACGTCATATTAAAAGAGATGTCGCTTTAAAAGTCACTGATAACAGCGGGTAGCGTGCTTTGTGTGGGGGGGCAGTAGCCCGGAGACTTGCTGGGACTCAGTTAGTGCTTTGAACAGCTCGTATCGCTGTATGTACACAATGGCTTCCGGTCCTGTGCGCCAGAAAGACAGCTACTTTTCGGCTAAAGCGACCTTTCATAATTTTAATGAAAGTAGTCACTTCATTGAACTGTAAATGGTATTGTGGTGGGGGGGGGTGTCTGGGGAACAAACAATAAAAAACTTTAACGGAAAGAGAGACGTACGCCGGCATTAGACAGTGAATGTGACAGACGTTGCGTGAAGCATTGGCGTCTAAAACTCCCCGAAGGCTAGCCGGGGAGCCCCGGTCAGCCCCCTCCCCGCTGCAGGGGGCCTGTGGTTGCCCTGCTGACAGACCCCGGAATTTGGCCCTGTCCAAATCCTGAGTAAAAACTAAAACTCTTCCTTTGAGACTCCCCAAAACATTTCTGTCAGAAATCAGACTGCCTGTTCCCCGAGCGGAACACCGGTCGCAGCGTTTCCACGTTCAGAAATCCACTTAGACAGAGTGGTTTCAAATAATCAAGAGGCAAATCTTTAAAAAAAAAAAAAAAACAGAAGAAAAGTATTTCTCTGCTTCACATCTCAACCAGTCACATGGCTTCTAAGTTTGGTTTGCTCCGAAATAAGTAAACAGCAGGAGACACACCGCAGTCCCCCATTTTAATCTCCTAGGATGTTCTGAGGTGAAAAAGAAAACAAAAAGTAAATACATACGCAAGCAGTTAATCTTTTTTTTTTTTTACTCTGTATGTCCTCTGAATGGCTGAAATTCTCCTAAAATCGTTTTGAGATGTTCAGTATTCAAAACAAACTGAACTGGGACCTTGTCCATCTCATTCCTTGGGTGTGACAGCGGTGTTTTCACGTACAGCCTCTGACGCCAAACCGCCTCCTCTCGGTCCGCCCTTGAGCAGGTCCCGGGGGTGGGCGGGGCGTCAGTCGAGTACGGTGGTCCCGGGGGCCAGCTGGTCTCCGGGCTGGGCAGAGGCACCGCTGGCCTCCACGGGCTGGGGGGGGTCATCGGCGGTGCCATGCTGGGACCTGGCATCGGGGTAGTGAGCGTTGCTGAAGGCCGTGCGGTGCACGGACTGGACGTGGGTCTTCAGGTTGCCTTTCTGGGAGGAGCTGTAAGGGCAGAGCTGGCATCGGAAGGGACGCTCGCCTGCGTGGCACAAACAAGGGCACGTCAGCCTGTCATGTAGCACAGGTACGCTGGCGGGGGCGGCGGGGGGAGGGGCCATGACTGACGGCACGTTGATGTGCCATATGGAGACACTTGCCCGCGGGGGACGTCCGGGCTCTGCTTTCATTCTTTCGGCTGCTCCATGGGAAAAAAAGAGCAGAACACGAGATTTCAGGACCTTCGACTCCCACCTATCAGTCATGTGGGCAGACAAGTTTGCAAATAAGAGCAAACACGAGGAAATGGGGGAGGTAGCGAAAAAGAATGCACCCGCACCGCCCGGGAGCACTGCTCCTCTACTCAAACCGCGCTGCTTATAACGTTTCATTTCCGAACAAATGGGCCCCTTCTCTCTGAACTACGAGCTGTAAATCCGACCAGGGTGGGGACGTAGCGCCCAGGCCGCACTGCGCCAATCGGTGCCACAGGGAAAATCCCGCACGCACCTGAACGAAACAAATGCGACTGACAATTAATTGCACCTAATTGCTATTTTGAGAAATAAATTAACAGGCAACGGGACGCTGGCTGTCAGGGAGCCAACCAAAAATAATTGCATTACCGTTTATCAACAGGAAATAAACGAGAAGGGGACAATTAATAGTATTTGTTTCATGGGGGGGGGGGCATTCAGCTCGTTAACAGGGGACCTCACACAGAAGGCACACATTAAGTAATGCTAAATGTTAGTATAGGGAGGAAGATCATTCATAACAGCCAATGAGTAGGCAGGTGTCATTAAATAAGAGCGCCACCACGAGACACTTAAAATCACAGGCTTTGACTCCATCACTGGGATGAAAATGACTGGGGGAGGAATAAAACAATAACAGAAAGATGTTGTCACGCCCGGCTCGTCCGATCCTCCTGTGTGCCGCGTTAGTCCGCGTCTGAGTCAGTATTCCCCAGATCCGTCATTGATGTTTGAGGTTCGTCAATGTCAACCCCGTTTGTGCCAATAAATCCCTATTACCGACTTCACGGCTTTGCTGCCTTCCTGCCCGCTGGGCGATCTTAAAAGGTGTGTCGTCTCTTATCATGGCTGGAAATAATTGTTTTGCACACCATCTTTACTGAGAGGTAGAATTTTTTAGAATTAGAATTTAGTGAATTTAGTGGTCATTGTTGACACACCACAGCACACAGTGCACAACAATGAAAAGTGTCCTCTGCATTTAACCCATATGTGACGTCGAGAATAAAGTTTAAAAAACCCACTGAGGGCGGGAATATCAATTCGATCACTGATTGGCTCAGCCACACTTCCTGTCTGCTGTGCTATTGGTTGCCAGTGTAAAGGAGGCGATTCACAGCGCTCGGTGATCCCTCCCACCGATGCCTCGATTTGGCCAACATTCAACCCTCGTCGATTAAGATAAGATTGACTGGCAGTGACACGTGGCCGTTTAATGGTCAACGGAACCAAACATGGAGAAATAAAATGAGCCGGAGAGGGGGAGGCGCGGGAGGAGGCGAGGAGCTTGTTTGGCGGGGCGTCGGTGGCACTGGTGTGAACTGCAGAAGCTCCGAGTCCATTAGACTCAAATAGCAGTGTGGGATGTGGGGCCTTGTTAACGGCCCTCACTCTCAGTTAGAGAACATTATCAGGGACCGTCACCCGATTACCATCACCCGTTCAAAGCAGGAAGGAGCGACTCGCGGACTGAAACTAGCAATTTAATGTGACACGTACGGTTAGAGAGTATGTTAATGGACGCTCGGGGCCCTTGGCCCTTTTTAATTTGGACATTTATGCTGAAGAAAGCAATCACTGACAACATTAATTATAACGACGCGGCCATGGAGGGGAATGTGTCCCCACATTACGTACCATTTGGCCCTGTCACTTTGCATCAGCCTGGCCTGGCCGCTCTGTGCGGCGCTCACACGTCCAGCCCGACAAGTCGCGACTGCTCGCGGTAAGCCGGAGGGCGGAGCTCCTCCACCCCCCGCACCGAGGACTCTGATCACCCCACCATTTGGACTAAATCGGACCCACCTTGGGGGGGGGAGGGATGGCTGAGGTCCTGGACGAGAGTCGGAAGTGGAACACTAGTCCCCCCCGGGAAATTTGAGTCTCGACCCTGACACAGAGCGGCGTGGGCAAATGGTGCGATAATTACGCCGAAATGGACATTTGGTGTGTCGCGGTGCTGCTGGGCAGCCCCCCCCCCCCCCCCTCATTTGCATGCACAATTACAGCTCGCAGACTGACATCTGATTAATAATGTATACCATTTCTCACAGGTCAGCATCACAGGCAAATATAATGTTTGCAGCAAAGAAAAAAACAGACCAACTGTCACCCATGGATGGAAGTTCATGCATACATGCACACACACACACACACACACATAAACACACACTGTATGCACAGACACATAAACACACACTACACACATACTACATACATACACTAACATATAAATGAGTTACATACACATGCACTACATGCACAACCCTTGTATAAGCACACAGAGACAGAAACACATACACACAGATGCTCATTAAAGCATTAAACACGTTTTTTGGGGATCCACTTGTGCCAGCAATGTTTAGGTTTTGAATGTCAGACATGTCTTTGTGTATGACTGTTCACGTATGTACGTCCGCTCGTATGCGTGTTGATGCATGGTCATATGCACACGCAGATGGCACAGACTGGAGGCGCGTCTGCGTGTTTCGGACCTGTGACCGGCCTACCTGTGTGGGACCTGACGTGGGTGCGGAGGTGGCTGGGCTGACTGAAGCTCCGCCCACACTCCCCGCAGAGGTAGTCTCCTTGGAGCAGCGCTGACCTCGCTGTCCCTGGATGGGTGGGGGGGGGGGACAAAGTTAAAGAAGAAAAACACATCTGGCTGGAAGAGGCAGCGATGAAGAGCCCATTAGTATGTCTAATGTGTCATTATTGGATGGCACCTTCAGGGCCTGGATGGCAACTGTCAGGCCGCATCACGGTGCCGGCTGACAGGCCCCCATGCACGCCAGCGCATAAATTACACCACATTAGAGGGGCGGCTCTGTGATGTGCCCGCCCCGCCGCGTCACATGTCAACAGAGCCCCCCCCCCCCCAGCCGATGTCCCCTCCTCGCAGCAGCTGGAGCCGGATGTGCTTCCCCAGCCGTCACCCCCACCGACCGGGCGGCCATCGCGCTGAATCAATGTGACATCCGTGTGGCAGGTGGAGAGCAGCGCAAGTAACAGTGACTGGTGCACTGCATACCCCCACCCCCAAGCAGAGACAGGACCCCCCCCCCCATCTCATCGACCGCGAAACGCCAGGCGCCAGCTGTCCACCACCCTGACTCCGAAAGTCCGTGCTGGACAGCCTCCCGTCCGGCATTGCTGGGGTCATTAGCATTCCCGGAAAAGCCATTCATGAAAATGAGGGACAATGGGGCCGAATAAGAAAAAAAACCCTCATTTTCCAAAGGTCACCTCATGGCGCGGCTCCGGAAAGCGGCGTGACGACATTGCCGGCTGGCAGGACCCTCGCGCGCTCGCTCCCACGCGGCATTCCGGGGGGATCTGCCCACCGCCGCTGACCTTCGGGGCTGAGGGCTCTTATGGAAAAAGCGGCATGAAATATGCATTTTGTAATTGCTACCTTGCCGAAGCAGCTGTTGCCATAATTTGACATCTCTCTCACGTCTCCTTGCTTAGCGTAGCTGCATCACCGGGCAGCTGCAGCACTCTGCTCTGGGGTGACGACGCTCGCTCTCTGCTTTTCTGCACGCTTCCCGGTTATGAAGATATGCTTCTATCCTTCCCCGCATCTGGCACTACCGGCGCCCCCTGCTGGCACAGCGACGTCGCGCTCTCCCATTCTAAAATTCTGAAGGCACTTGCCTCCAGCCTGAATCATTTACTTCGCTGGCAGTGATGTTCACATCGGTCAGCTGCGGCCCCGGCCACCAGCCAAAGCAGCGGTGGGGTGGGATGACACCAGGATCACTTTGGGGGGGGGGGGGGCACACAAGGTCTTGCTGCTCAGTTAAAGTAGATTTGGGAGCTGGGGTGAGATTTCAGCTGGAGACTCTCCCCGCTGCTTTCAGCATGCCTGTTAAGCATGTCTGTATCTCATTGGGCTGCCTCAAGTCCCCGCCCTCATTGGGCTACCCCAAGTCTCCGCCCTCATTGGGCTACCTCAAGTCCCCACCCTCATTGGGCTACCCCAAGTCCCCGTCCTCATTGGGCTACCTCAAGTCCCGCCCTCATTGGGCTACCTCAAGTCCCCACCCTCATTGGGCTACCCCAAGTCTCCACCCTCATTGGGCTACCTCAAGTCTCCGCCCTCATTGGGCTACCTCAAGTCCCCGCCCTCATTGGGCTACCTCAAGTCCCCGCCTAGGTCAGGACCCAGAACTCCAGGCATTTAAAGTGCCTTGAGGAAGCGCATCTCCTGCCTCTTCAGCAGCCCTCAAACTAGAAGCTGCCTTAATTTATTACTCACATAAGATTTGCTGGTACAGCCATTGAAGGCAGTGATGGTAGTTTTTGTCGCAATCAGGGGAGGCAGCTCCTGTAAATTTGTGCAACTGGGGGGGCAGGGGTTCCCCTCAAAAGATTTATATGATCGCCAGTTGGGGAGAAAGGGCACTTAGGACATCAAAGGGGGGCACATTCATTCATTCAGGTGAAAGGGGTAGGTGCTCAGGCAGCCACAGCCCACCCACCCATCTGCACATGCCTGAGTAAAGTCATGTGTCACATGACACGAAAGTGTGTCATGTGACTGAATCACCAGCGTGCCATTAGCACCCATAACAAGCTGCAAGGGGAAGAAGCTCTTGAATGTGGCTTCTTTATGTGAAATGGACAGAAAAGCAGCAGAGTGGGCTGGAGGTCTGAGCAGCGTTTTCCAGCAGCGTTTACCCAAGGAAATCCAGCAAGGCCACAACCTCCAAGACCCCTGTGGTACCAGCTGACCTTCGAGATGCACGCAGGGATGGACATGCTCACAAACTGTGGGCCATGTAGGGGGGAGGGTCACACTTGCCAGGGGGCTGCAAAGCCCTTTAACCGGCCATCATATTACGACTTGGTTGGGAGCCCAAGCTGTAACTTACCCGCCTGACTCAGCACAGGACTGGTGGAACCCCATCGCTGGTAGACCGTGGCCAGATCTTGGGACCTGTAGCTCTTAAAGAAACTCAGGATGTCCGCAGGTGGGGGTGGATCCTCTGTGCTCGGCTCATTCTTCACTGCATGGTGCGGCAGATCGAGCGCAGTGGAGCTACTGATTCGGGGGGAGCCCAGTGCCGACCCGTCTCGCGACTCACCCCCGAGTCTGAGGGCCCGGCTCTCAGCTCGGCTATGGATCCTGTCTGGCGAAGCGGCCTCCTCACCGGCGCACTCCAGGACACGTCGGCCCTCCTGAGGAAGAGCAGGCTGCTCCTGCCGGCTGCCAGGTTCTCGAGGGGAGCCCCCCGATGAGACCAGTCTGGGATACATCTCCGGTCTGGGCCTGGCCGACATCGCCTCGTCAGTCCCAGGCCTCCAGGTTTTGGGCTTCTTAGCTGGGCTCAACCCTGGAGCACAGTCCTTCCCCTGCTGGGCGCTAAGCTGGTTGCCACCAGGGTCTGATCCCACCCCTATCTTTGGAGTAATGGGGGGTGGGGGGCGTGTGCGTGGGACGCAGCCGAAAGGCAGGGGGAGGCACTCCTCGCCTCGCAGGGCGGGGGGAGGCCCCGTACGCCGTTTCATGGGCCTCCGGGGGGCCGGGTTGCCAGTTCGGACTCTGTGGTAGACCCGCTGATGGATTCGCTGGACCTCTGGGTAGCGGGTGACGAATGGGCAGCTAACACACGGGTAACTGAGCAGAGCATTGTGGGTATTAGCCACAGACAGCTCTGACTTAGTTGTCAGGTCAAGGGGGTCAGCAGCCCTATTCTGGGGATCAGCTGGGCTTCCAGGAGAGCATCCTCTGGGGGGAGAGGTGAGGGCATGGGGCACAAGGCTCTCCTGGAGCAAGGCCTTCCTCAGTTTGGGGTAGTCACCACCCAGTCCGCCTGCTGCACTGTGCCCCTGTGGGGGCGTCCCTGTCACAGTAAAGGTCTCGCTTGTCTCCTTGTGATAATGTTTTATGTGTGACGTCCAGGACGAGAGGTCAGAGGTCCCAAAGCTACAGTGGCTGCAAACGTAAGGCTTCTTATCTGTGAAAGATACATAAGAACAAAAAAGAAAAAGCATTTTTTTTTTCCAAATTCTAAAATCAAAATCAACGTGTACTTTTTTTTCTTATAAAAGCTAAGCTTGTGACATTACATAATGATCCTGGATTATTTAATTTCCAGAATTATTTCACAGAGAAATACACAGATGGTAAGTGGGTAATCAGCTATTCTAAGTCATGAATGAAAAAACAAGCCATACAAAAGAACAGACTGTTAGAACTACTGATTCACAACTGGTGGGCCGTGGGACTATTTTGAAAATAGTGTCAAATAGTGGTTTTTGTGCTACAAATTTTACCCCACCCCCCAAGTTTTATATATATAGTTTCGTTCTTGCTAAATGTACTAAATACTGCACATTTTATTACATAAATTTGGCTCAGAATTTGGGTCGTGACCAAGGGATACCGTGGAACCTCTGCTTTAAACAAAAAAAAAAAACCTGTAATGTATGTGACTACCACTAGATGGCAGTATTTCATGTTAACATTTTGGGAACATTTATCATAGAACCGAATATAGTTTTTTTTTTTTTTAAACTTTTGATCGAGCCTGTACCGGTCAGAAACCATAACTAACATGGTTTTAGCTTCCCTCTTTGTAGACAAAAAATTCACTTTCCTTTAAAGATGTATACTATTATTGTAATACTTTTGGTCCAGATCTACCAAACAAACACTTTCAAACTCAGGCTGACATTAATTCCAGCCCTACTTAAATACCCATGTCTAAACTAGTTATTTTAAGTGCCTCTTGCTTTAATAATAAATCATACACATTACCAGCAATCCAGCTTTTACTGTTAAGTCTGATTATTTATATTTTAATGAGCATAAATTATAACAGGCGACAAACATGCAAGACTATTAATAATGAATGCTAATTTTCTTTTTGTCTGCTTAGTTAAAAGTCACCAGAAGGCTATTCTTTGCGATTAAAAACATGACGCCGTTGACGCAGAACCAAAATGTACCACACGGTGGCGCCATACATCACGGCTCACCTACGGCTGCCAGACGCAGCCGCAATGGAGAGCCTCTGGAACGCTTAACTCTCACAAGTAATTTTACTCTGCAAGGCTCGTGAACCCTGCGTGTTCCCCCTAAGTCCTTCCGGAAAATGTTTAACGTTTCAGTCCGTGCACTGTGCTTCTCTCACAGCTCCCATCTCCGTTTCTCCCTGTCTGCTGCAACAGACACGGTTTTGGAGGGGGGAGGGGGGTCTCTCTTCAATTTTTCAGCGAGCCAATGAGACAGCCATCTGTTCTGGATTTGGTGGCTTTTATTAATATTGCTGTGCCTTCCAGCGGGGTGGGCGCCGCTTCTCCACGGAGGCTTCGCAGCTGTTCCACAGCCTCCCTCCCCTAAGACTAGCAGCAGGGGACGAGGGAAGAGCCAGCGTGTCATCACACTCCGGCGCAACTTTGTTGGGAGGCAGTTCCCGCGTCTGGCTACCGAATCTGCGAAATGCCTCGAAGCTAATAGCGGAGCACTTAGCGGCTGAAACACAGAAGGTCAATGAGGCCAGAATCAAGACGCCCGCAAATAAATAGCTACAAAAAATAACAGTTACCGAATGAACACTGCATGAGCCAAGCGGCCCAGTATTTGTGAGCCGGGCACATCCACAGCTCGAGTGACAGAAAGATAACCTCCGAGAGGCAGACGGCCCAAAATGCTGCCTGAATTATTCTTTTCAGATAGACCGGCGGAGGCGCCCGTCCGCCTGAAAGGGACCGTGGCGTGAGGGGAATTTATTCGGCGCTTATATCGAACTGCTACCCGCCGTGGGCCGCATCGCGTGACCCGCCACGCGCTCCCGTCTCTCAGGACCTGCAGTTCCCGCCGGCGAAAGCCGGGAATGCGTTAAGTCCGACTTCTTATTATTTACTATCGTTTCATTCAGTTTGTGACGGTAATGTGTGAGTAAGCAGCGGGAGAATCGAGCGGGCTACCCGCGGTGAAAACACCGCGTCCTTTTCCACACTTTTTTTTAGACCGTCCAGCTGGCATTAAAGTAACAGCAGCAGACAGGGGAGAAGTTGTGGGGTTTTTTTGTCCTCGATGGAATGACTCCCTATAAATAACCGATCCCTTACTGGCGAACCTGAAGGAAACCCCTGCCCCCCCCCCCCCCTCCCCAGCGCTGCAGGCCTGCGAGGCCCTCCTGCCGACGCCCCCCTTCAGCTCAGTGACACGGCAGCGTCCTCCCCTCCACGCTCGCCGGGTGAGAGGCAGCAATCCAGACACGAACAATATTCATCTGCAGTGGTGTTCGATGTCCAAGGACACAGATGGACTTGCTTTCGAGGGGTCTGATGTCATTGCTGATATCATTGCTCTCCGCGCCGGCGAGGAGAGCCGCAAAGAGCCGGCACTTATGCTTCACACGAGTTATTTAATATTTACACAAAAAACGTGGAAAAAACTGCCAAAGGGCATCCTGCGAGCCGCTGGGTCTGAGATGCCCTCACGCAGCCTCCCAGCGGGGGCAGGAGCTCGCGCGTCTCACTTGACGGGGGCCGTTTAAGCCATTCTTTTGGCCGGGAGCGGGAAGCAGGTTCCTGGTGCTTCTTCACTTTTTGCAAAGGTGACTTTTTTGTTCCCAACTGGCACAGTGTTTGCATTAAACTCCCTTCCTGGCACGGCTGTAGAGGAGAACTCTTCCAGCAATAAAAACACAATCGATCATTAATGAGGCTGCGTATCTTTTAAGCGAAAACCAACCGGTCCGGACTGCACATATTTATACTTAAAAAAGGAATGACAATCGATAATGAAAGTGTAAGTATCGCTATCAGTGTTGGCTTTACGAAGCCACGTGCATCGCGCTCCTATATATCTCAAGGTGAAAACAGGAAGGGGTTAGCTGTATGATAAACAAAACGACATTTGCAGACATCCTCCGTTTACTGCACAATTCCATTGTAATTTTGATTTTTACATGTGTTTTTAATGCATTTTTTGCAGAAACAGGCTTAGCAAAAGCGGTAAGTGGAATTTTACAAGATGGAAAGGAGGTGCGGCAATAAGCTACAAGCTGCAGTTTAGTGTGACGGGATGTTCTAAAAATACTTTCAGTGTATGGCTGAAAACATGCTTTAAATTTAACCATTGTATCAGTAGGTAATCAGAAAAAATAGATTTTAAATGGGTAATATTTTCTTTTTACTACAAAAATTTAGTTTTTTTTATATGAACAAATCACCTTTCATAACATTCACTTCAACAGTAATATGATAGTGCTGCACTGCAGTATGACAAGGCTGCTCTTATTTATTTTAGTGCTTAGGCTGCATTTCCAATATTGACCACTAGATGTCTGTACTGCCACTATTCAACACCCTGGATTGCAATAGACGCCAATTCAACTGGTGGCAAGCGCAAACACAAAACGCTCCATTGTTGTGTCAACCAAGGTTTGAATTTTACGAAAGTTCAAGTATACATATTTGAGATGTTTCTGTGTACTGCTTAACAAACACTACTGACTTTTGCAGGGTATAAAAAAACTACAAGGGAAATCACACAGGCTTTTCCTCTGGCAAACGCGGGATTTGGTGTTCCATGGGTCACTGTATACAGAACCGCCATGTTGGAGAGTGGAGATGCAGGGATGACTGAAGACTGGTCAGACATTGAGGTCAATATTCACATGACTGAGAGAAGTAAATTTATTAATACTTCTTTTAAAAAGTATTTTTGCAGTCATTGGAAATAATAGGTATAATGTTGGAAAAAGTGCTGTATTTTGATGTGATAAACTAAATGAAATAATTATATAATTGTTTGAATAACGAGCATGTATAGAATAACTAGCATATATAATATATACAACCTGTTAAATTTGATATAAGGTGACTCAGGAATTTCTTAGTAAAGCAAATAAATTAATCATGACATGCCCCGACATCCCGCCAAAGGTCTACCCAAATCTTATGCCTTATGCTGCCTGGGATAGAGCCCAGGTCCACAAGACCCTGACCAGACTAAGTGCTACAAGATGGATGGATGGATTCCTTGCCACTGGGTTGCTACTCCCTTACCTCTTTCCCCAGTTGCTTCTTCTCCTCTTGCAGAAGACAGGGGTGAGTCTTCGTAGCCGGGGGTGCTGGGTCGGCTCATGGAACCTGACTCGGCCTCGCTGGGGGAGCGCTCTCCCTGCGACGGCAGGCTCCTGCTGTCAGAGCTGCCACGGCCGCCCTTGCGGTGGATACGGGAGTGCAGCACCATCTGGTGGTGAGTGCGAAACACGCGTCCGCATTCAAAGCATTCGGCGCTCCTGCTCTGTGAGGAGCGCCTGCTCTGGCGGGATGGTGGTCGGAACTCAGAGTCACTCGCCCCCTCTGGGCTGAGGTCTCCCAGGCTGCTGGGGCTTGGCTGCCCACAGGCACGGGGGCTCTGCCGGTGGTTGCTTCCTCCACTGCCACTGCGGGCCTGCTGCTGGGTGTGGCTCCCGCTGGCTCGCGTCTTCCGGCTGCTTGAGGCTCCGTTGGTGTCCGGCTCGCGCCTGTATCTTTCCTGCCCTACCAGGACGTACTTGCCCTTGTCTCGGTCGTAAGCCACATCGGCGTCCTCCAGCACCTCATCCCAGCCGAGGCACTTGCCGTTCTCCAAAGTCTCAGCCACTCGGCCCTTGGTGGCCAGCAGCCAGGCTTGGTAGCTGCATATGGGGTCCAGCTCCGGAATGCGCTTACCCACCCTGCCCTCCAGGGGATTCTCTCGAGCCGTGGCTGGCCTCAGGTTCAGGCACTCCATGAAGCGCTTTTTAGTGGACGTCGAGTCAGCATCATCGGTCTGTTTCCGCCGCCCATTTGGCCTCCTGCCATTCACCCTTTGGCTAGGACCGTGGACTTTCTTATGCACCCGCAGACTCTCTTGGTCATGGAAAAGGTTCCCACATTTGGAGCAGTGCTCAATAAGGCACAGTCTGTTAAACAAGCCAGCCTCATCCTGTGCGACGTCATTGATGGTGGCCGTGGGCTCGGTGTCCCCCCTGAGCTTGCCCCGGCCACCGGACCTGCCGCCATGGGTCTTCATGTGGTTCTTCAGGAACCAGGCCTCACGGAAGTGCCGCCCACATATGTGACACCTGTGCTCCAGGGCAGCCGGGTGCTTTTTCATGTGTGCCTTGAGAACCCATGCTTGGCTGAAGACCTGGTCACACAGTGTGCAGGGAAAGTGGGCCTCAGCACATGGGGCCTCTGGTGGGGACGCCTCAACAGTGATGTGCACCTTCTCGATGTGGCAAAGCAACTGGTCTTCACGGGCAGCCATGAAGCCACACAGCCTGCAGCGATAGGGCTTGTGGAGCCGGATATGCTCTTCCAGTTCAGCCCGGCCACTCAGTCTGCGCCGGCACAACGGGCACTGCAGCGCCAGCCCCCTGGCCTCGTCCTGCCCAGCTGGGCCGTCTCTCCTAGAGCCCTTCACTGGGGTCTTTCGGCCTCCCTCTGGCACACCAGCCACGCCATTGCAGGCCGACGTGCTGTCAGTGGGGCTTGTGCAGCCACCTAGGCCCTCGGAGACCCCGGCCTCCTCCAGCTCGACATCAGGCTCTTCGTGCCTATGGCTCAGTGTGCCCAGCTTGTGGCCCCGGATGTGGGCCTTGAGGTTGCCCTTCTGGGAGGCCCTATGCTCACAGTAAGGGCACTTATAGGGCTTCTCCCCCATGTGCTTTCGCATGTGTTGTGACAGCGAGCTCTGCAATGGGAAACTCTTGCTGCAGATGTTGCAGGCATAGCAGGGGACCCTGCCCTCATCTGTGTCAGCCCTCTTCACCCTGCTGCATTCCGCAGACACTTCCCGTTTGTCTGTTTCGACTGCGCCCAGATTCATGACTCCCAGGGTGTCCGCTGTCCGAATCTATCTGTCGGGTCCGACACCAGGGGGTCACGTTCCTTTCGCGTCATGCGTTGGCCACCGGCATCCGTCTCCTAAATTCCATTACTGGATTCTCTGTGGACTGTTCTTCCTAGTTTGATTCTGGTGTCTACGGAGGCTGCTTAGACGAATTGCCCTAGGGCTGTTGCCCTGTCAGACCTGTGGAAGAGAAAAAAAACACGAGATGTAATGAAAGCATCAGGTGGCCTGTCTTGCTCTGCCTCTCTCTGTCTTGCTGCCCCATTCTGTCACACTCTGTCTTGCTGTCTCACTGTCACACTCTTTCTTGCTGTCTCACTGTCACACTCTGTCTTGCTGTCTCACTGTCTTCCTCAACTTTGCTCTCACATTTCCTTGCTGTACTTGCTGTGTCATGCTCTTCCTCACTCTGTCTTTGTCTCATTGTGTCACCCTACCTTGCTGAACCTTGCTCTATCTCTCTCTGCCTCACTGGCTCGCTTCATCTTGCTCTGCGTCACTCTGTCTTGCTCTGCCTCACTCCGCCATGCTCTGCTTCGCATGGTCTCTGTCTTTCTCCCTCTGTCTCACTACCTTGCTCTGCCTTGCTGTGTCTCGCACCATCGCTCTCTACCGTGCTTTGTCTCTCTTTGCCTCACTCTTCCTCGCTTTGTCTCACAATATCTCTGTGTCTCTCTGCCTCGCTGTCTCACACTATCTCACTGTCTCAAACTACTTCTTTTTGTCTTTCTGTCTCTGCCTTGCTATATCTTGTGCCATCTCTTCCTGTCTCACACCGTCTCGCTTGGTCTCATGCATTTGCACAGCTTTGCCCAGGAATGACAAGAGTCGATATGGGCTGTTGTAAACCCAGGAGTCAAGACCAGAACCGAACCGCCCAGCCTGCAGTTTAGAGCATGCCAATACAGTCACTCGCCTCTGGACTTCTCGAACCCCAGGCACCTCGCTGACACAAGCGGCACGCTGGAGAACCCTCGACAGCCCTGTCTGATTCAGCAAATTTGAGGAGGGGCGCAGCAAACAGCCAGCGTCAGCATGATGTGCGTTTGTGATGCTGGGTACCTGGCCTCCTGCTCATGGCCCAGAACATGAATGTCCCTGAAGAGTGAGTGACCGCCTCCTCCATCCCACGCTGACATGGGACCGAATCATCTCTGCCCAAGAGCGGCTCTCCATAGTTAATGCATCACCACATGACAGAAGGAAACACAACTGTGCCCCCAGAAAAGGGGGAAGGTTGCTCTTTGTTTCATTACAACCTGAAAAGGGCTTTTATAACGGTTTTAAATCATTACACAAGGTAAACGATAAACATGTACTTGCAGACTGCCCAGTTTCTGCCTGAAATCCATCTGCACTGAATCCATGCTCTTCTGGTATCAAAGCAAATAATTATTTTGTCACCTTATCTGGGCCTGAAAGCAGGATTAACACTGGATACACTTAACCCAATCATTCAAGCAGGATATCAGCCCATGGATGACAGGGCACACGAATGCAATCGCGCTCCCCCAGAGCGGAGGCCTTTGAGCACAGAGGCCTCCTTTTGCACTGTGGCAGAAAGCTCCTCCGCAAAGACGCTAGGTGAACCGCTTACTCACACCATTCACTGCCGCTGCATCTTACAGAATGACCCTCTGCTGAAAAGCGGATGATAGCTCAATTACGAGAGCGGAGAAAAATCAATCTCTCATCAGCTTCAGCACACAGCAGTGACAGAGAGAAGTCTGCTGAGGTCACTGTGAATAGACTGAAAGCACGGCTGGTGGTCCAAGCTGGGCCTCTTCCTTCTCTGACATGCACCCCCCCATGGGTCAGGACTGTTCAGTGTCCACTCCAAAACCTGCATCTCTGAAACTGCACAACTACAAACTAAGAACTGTATAGGAACAGAACACAACCAAGAATACTAATGAGCTCTTTACTCACTTATTATATGAATTATAAAATATTTTCATTAAAGTACATAAAATATCTATTTTGCAAAGCCAGAGTTTCAGCTGAAGACTTTATCACAGTAAATTTCACCACAGCCAGTTATGAGCTTTACCACAGCCAGTTCTGGATTTCACCATAGCCAGTTATGGATTTTACCATAGAAAGTATGGATTTCACCATAGCCAGTTCCAGACTTCACCATAGCCAGTTCAAGACTTTACCATAGCCAGTTCCAGACTTCGTCATAGCCAGTTCCTGATTTCAACATAGCCAGTTCTGGTTGGCACAGTATGAGGGACACTGGTACTTGGGCCCTCACTGGGTGTGGCTGTGGGTTCCAGTCCAAACTGGAAAGGCTTCTAGTAGCAGTAAGAGTCGATAAATGTCTGACAGAATGACAGCGAAGCTCAAATATCAGCATTATTAGTACATTTTCCAGAGAGCCTCTAAGCAAACTAATGGATAGTCATGTCTTAATCAAACACAGTAAATCCTGTAGCCCTGTCAAGGTAGAGAGTCACCAATTACTTTTTATCTGAAATAAAGCCAGTGTTTTATGTTGGATTAAATAAATTGACTTAGCTTACCACCACTTAAGGATGAAATATTTTATAACACAGAAAACCTTTCAGAGCAGACCCTCGCAGAGCAGTCACTTCCAGAATATTCTGAGAACCAAGATGCAGTTCCGCAGTGAAATGCTTTGATAAACAACCAGTGATTGCAGACTGATAAACGTCTTTTTGCACTGCCAGGAGATCACTGGACACTGTCACCTTCAGGATGGCAGGATGTGGGCAGCATAATGTATCAGAGAAGAAATTAGCAAAAAAAAACTTTAATTGGCACTCTTTCTCCTCACTACTGCTCACCAAAATATAACCAAACAATAAATATTACATCCATATTACATCCATGTGTCGACCATCCAGTGATATCTCCAAAGAAAACTGAATCACATTGGTATTACAGAGCATCCCCTTTCATTGTCCTCAAACACTCACCCTTTGACCTTCCCTGCGGAGTTCTGTAGTCCATATATAGTACTGGAGTACAATCTGTGTGCTCCATGCATCATCAGGTTATTGGTGGTTCTCTGACCTTTCTTGTATCTAGAGCTTTGATGAACTCCTTAAAACAACATTCCTATATCCTGGACTTGGTATTACAATCTCCCTTTTTGCCAGGGATGCCGTAAAGAGCAGTTCAGATGGATGGACATGGGCACCTGCGTGCTGTAAATGCCATGCTACTGTGCCTAGCCAACATCAATCCCCACCTCAGGAAAACAAAACACTAAAAGGCAAATATTACAGCTCTGAGAAAGAAATGGTGAGCTGTTTGTTTTTGCCTCTTAATATAGTGAAGCAAACAAGCAACATGTGATATTATCGAATTTCAGTAGAGTTACTCTTTAGACCCAGGTGGGCTCCAGACAACTGGCTTTCACAGACAGACCCTTCTCTATTATAGCTGTGGCCACATGTTTCACTACCACATTTAGCACGTTGCAAACGCCTCTTTCACCACTCTCTTCACGCCATGGCTTGATGGGATTGGCTACCACTTCTGCAGAAACCCGGGTCCAAAGTTTGCACCCCCTACACTGGTCTAGAGAACTGACCGGGGCCCAAACCCAGGCAAAAATGTCAGTGGGTTTCCAAGATGGAAGCGAGAAATCGGCACCTCTGTCATAGGAAGTGCAGGAATTCTGGCCAAAAACACAGTGCCTGGTTCTCGGCAAAAAATGTTGGTGCTCCTTCGCTACTCGGCACGTAGAGGCGGCCCATTTCCAAGCAGATCTCCTCTGAAAGCTTGGTTGTTACTAGCCTTCGGGAGCGAAACATGCGCTTGGGAGGAGTGAGCTTGGCTGGAACAGCACGGGAGGCTCTCAAGGCCTCTCGAACCTGCCTCTCGAGCCGCCGGCTCAGCTGCTCCTCTGAGTGTCATGTTCCATAAAACACGACGACCTCAATTCTCCATTTGGCTCTCCCACAGACTTCTCATATCTTTCATTTAAATATATATATACACACACACACACACACACACATATATATATATGTGTGTGTGTGTGTGTGTGTGTGTGTGTGAGAGAATTTTAAAGACATAGACCCAGTGTGCAGAGTTCACAGACACTGACTCACAGGCCTCACTAGAGCATGCCCTTAACAAACCAGTCACATGGTCTATAAATTGAACTGTAATAAGATTATGCTCAGCTTGAAACAATGTCGTGTTTCCAGCACACAGAAAGACTATGACTCATGGGGACTGGAGGATACTTGCCCCTTAGATCATCGCCTTTCCTCTTTAGAGGACATAGACACTCAGAATAATCTGATGCATAAACAGTCTCTTCCATACTTGAGGGAAAATCTTTGAATGACATGTCTGTATGGAGGATTTTTGTTCACCATCAAAAAGAGGAAGTGTAATTATTTTACAACCAGATACCAGATATCCAGGCATTTACTGGTTATTCAAAGTCATCCCAAATGTGCCAAACATCTTTACTCCTTTAATTCATTTGGCCTTCATTCAGGAGGATCCTGAATCATGGTCATTGTTGCGGTCATGGTGACCAAGAACATCACGTGGCTAAAGACAATAATCCAGGGTACTTTCAGCCACTCAAACCTCATGCCCAATGGGAACAGGCCACATTGATGCATGTAATGCCATATAAGAACACCTTGCAGGACAAACAGATCCCCTTAGTGCATGCATGTGTGGTCAATGCGTACCTCTGTGTGCCGCCTGTCGCAGAATGGGCTACTTCAGACCTACGCTGTGAAAGGCCAGGCTGAGTATGTGAAGCAGAGTACAGCGGAGGGCGTAACAGCGGCAAGAGACGAAGCCGTCGGGCCTATTCTCAGACAGATCAATAATCCATTATGAACAGACCCCATTTCATCTCCCTTGTCAAGCAAAAAAAAAAACAAAACACACATAGAAAGACACAAAGAAGACAGCTGTAGACCCACCCAAAAAGTGAGAGGATTAGGTGACCAGAAATGGATACGTCCCAATGACATCCAACATCCCATAACCCTCCACAGACCTATTAAATAACATTCAGGCTAACTTGCAGTATCTATTTTTCGTGGTATTAATTTAAGAAGGCTAAAATGAACTGACCGATAAAATCAGAACTGCATTCTTCAATATCAGTGTAAATACTTATACGGCTGGTAATAAATAACACGCGTGTAAATCAAGTTGACTACACAAAATTCAATATTTAAATTTATTCAATAAACAAACAGCAAGGGCACTTCCGTTAAAAAAAGCTACTCCATCCAGAGTATACTCCCAAGCTGTCACATAAATACAGCATGTAAATGACTGAGTAGTCTAACCCCCCACCCCCATGCCTACCCCACAGCTTCTGCAGGAGATGAAACTAAAACACTTGACAGTTCATGTGACACAAACGGCATTTATTACTGCCAGTTACTCCCCCTCTGTCCTGACCACCCTCTGCTGACTGCCTTCTCCTGACCGCCTTTATCCTGACTGCCCTCTCCTGACCACCATTACCCTGACCGCCTTTATCCTGACTGCCCTCTCCTGACCACCATTACCCTGACCTTCTTCTCATGACCACCCTCTCCTCACCGCCTTTCTCCTCACCGCCTTTCTCCTGACTGCCTTCACCTGACCACCCTCTCCTGACCACCTTTATCCTGACTGCCCTCTCCTGACCACCATTACCCTGACCGCCTTTCTCCTGACCACCCTCTCCTGACCACCATTACCCTGACCGCCTTTCTCCTGACCACCCTCTCCTGACCACCTTTCTCCTGACCGCCTTTCTCCTGACTGCCTTCACCTGACCACCCTCTCCTGACCACCTTCAATTTACTGCCCTCTCCTGACCGCCTTTTTCCTGACCACCATATCCTGACCGCCCTCTGCTTCCCACCATCTCCTGACCATACTTCTTATGACTGCCCTCTCCTGACCCGGCACTGCGGTCCTGTGTTGGACCGTGTCTGAGGTCCTCTGGGACAGGACACTGCCTTCCCTCCTCTGCATAATGCTCCCTTCCCAGAGAAGACTCTGCTGACCTAAATATACTTCGTCAGTTCATCTCAGGGCTCCATCAAGCAAGACCACCACATTTTTCAAATTGAGCCATTGCTGTCGGCCGGGGGGTGAAGGGGGGTTTAGGTCTTCAGCAAAATATCCTGTTTACAGAGGTGACCTGCCACTGAAATTACACTGCAGCACAAACAAATAGGCAGCACTGGCAGGATTTTCTTGATGCTGCGTGTTATTTAAGCTTTGTGCGCCCAAATTTCCAGCCACCTGCTAGATATGCCTCGTTACCGAGGTTAATTAAATAGCCACTGGCATGTACCCTTAAAGTATGGCTTCATCAACAGACAAGGAATGTGACATCACTAATTACATCACTGAAGGCATTCACACAATAAAAGCAGATCAGCAATCATGGAATTCTCACAAATTAATAATGAAATCATCAAGAAAGAAAGAGGAATCATAACATCCAAAATCGATAATCACACAAAGCTGGACATCAGAGGTTTGCAGGCACTCAGGTGTGAGTTTACCGTGTGCACAGCACCTGCGAAATCCCCCGCATCTTTATTTTCAGCACAAGATAAAGGAAAACAAGAAAGTTGTCAATAAAACTGAATGACAAATGGAGGTGAGGATTCACAGAGCCAAACTCACTGCCTAGCTCTGAAGAGAGCGCCTCCTGTAGGTGGCCCAAGTGGAAACACGGGGAAGCCCGGGCTCTGTGTGGCCTACTCTGGCGCTGTCACAACGGGTCACGTCTGTCCCTCAATGAGACTGCAGGGGTCTGGGGCGCCTGTTGGCGGGATGGGGGGGGGGATCTTCTCTGCCATAAAACGCTGCCAGAAATGTGTCTGGGCAGGTCGGACAAAAGGCGGAATCGGGTCAGCCGTTCGAGGGGGTGAGCTCCCCAAAAACTTGTGAACTCATTTCAATTATTCCCCCCAATGAAAGAAGCTATTAGCTGCACTCAGACTGAAGTGGGGGGGGGGGGGGGTATGGTGCCTGGCCAACATTGTCAGATCACATTTTGGAGGGAAACCATTCCAGCATCGCACCACTGAACAGGCGAGGTCTGTGCCTCTGTTCACAATTAAAGATGGGCTGTGCAGAGCCCCATGGAGCCTGACGCCACAGAGGGACGGCCCGTCCGAAATGTTACGCTGCGGCATGTCACACATCACCGTCGTTCAGAGCGCTGGAGATTTGATGGCCAGTTTGGCTCACGGGCCATTTCGCTTGCGTGCTCCCTAACCTTCAGCAGGGACCCTGACCTGAAATACACTATAAAAAGCTCTATTTTAAAAAGACACTATGTCAGAAAAAAAAACTTTCTTTGAGTGAGCAGCCATAAATGATTTTATTGCAGCTGGCATTCACCTCTCTGTCACTGAGAGCTGAGCCTGTTTGGAAACTCAGTTTCACCATGTGGACCTTGGAGGCAAAGTTATGACATAAAATGACTGCACATCTCAGCACCCCCCTCATCCACGCGTTCCTGCTGGGTCCTCAGGATGGGTCCCCAGCCCACTCAGTCCCTCTACACCCCAACCCACGGCACCATGTCCCAGGCTGGCATGACTGACTGATGAATGAGCCACTCTGCCTTTGTGTGCCTGCTGATTAGATCTGAATGAGGTACAAGAGCTCTCTGCCTCTAATGGAGTCGACAGCTGTGAGGCAGCCAGTGCCACAGGAATACAGGACGGCACCCATCCCTCCAGGATGACTCTCTCTCTCCCTCTCTCTCCCTCTCTCTCTCCCTCCCTCTCTCTCCCTCTCTCTCTCTCAAACCCTCAGATATCAGCGGCGTGGCTCCAGTGCTCCTCCTGTATCTTCTCATGCAATTTGCAGAGCTCCTCCCATGATTAAACTGCTCCTCAAAGCCTCAACCAGACACCCGTGCGGATGGGCCGGGTGTGGCCAGCATAGTCACAGCAGACAATGCGCCTGGGGGACGAGGGAACGTGTCAAAATCTCATTTCTAGAGCGAAACAGCACGCCTCACCTGGGGTCCCACCCGTAACGAGATGGTGATACCAGTCGACTCCTTTAGTTGAAGGTCATCAACCTTCAACAATAGGAGACCATAATGTCAAGAATACATATTTCATGAAGAACTGTTAAACAATACGTTCAAAAGAATATAATCAAAAAAGAAATCTGGATTTTAAGGAGCTGCCTCAT